GATGGTAGTAATTGTATTTACGGCATATAAAAAGTGGTCACAATTACCTTTGCGACCACTTTTGCAACCATACTTTTCCTTTTTTGGATTACGGCACTAGTCTTTAGATTGATCTGTGACCAAGAAGTTGCAACTCTTAAGAGAATCTGCAACTCATTTTAAGCATGGGAATTTGCAATTCAGAGCAAGGTTGGTGACCCTGAAATTGTGTTTGGGCTCTGATGTTAAGAGGAAAGCTGTAAAATAAAATGGTTCAGATTTTGTTTGGTATGTTTTGTATAAATTAATCATTCCCATAAATTTTCTGTTTCTTTAATTTTATTTGACCAAGTGAATTTGTTATTTAAATGGGGTAGGGTTGTTGGTGAGTAGGTGTGCCACTGACTAAACAGCAACCCAGGACTCAAAACTCAGAATTCAGGGAAAATCCAAAACAACAACCCAGGTTGCAACCTCCTGAGTTGCAGAATTTCATACCAGTCTTAACACCAGCTTTATTTTACAGGTTGGGATAAAACAAAGCAATCATCACACAGTGCCAACTCTTGTCAATTATCAATGCTCATATGGAAACAGCCAGCCTGGTCTGAGAAGAAGATGTGGAAAGTTTTGTCCAAAGCCTTCCAACATGTTTGGATTACCTCACCTGTGGAAAAAATTCTACAGTCATGAAGAGGTGTGAGAACACCTTATTCCATGTTGGTGACAGGAAATTTTTACTAAATCTGACACCTGTGATCAAAATCAGATTTATTATTCATAAGGAACAATATAATTTGAAGGAATATGAACTTTTTTGATCCTCCAGTCAACCTAGTCCAAGCAAGGAATAGATCATTATTTATTTATTCTTGTGAACCCCAGAGATCTGGGTAGACATGCATTATTAAAAATTTCATTTACACATGGCCTTGGTGTTATTACTACTTGGGTGATGCAATTGTTTGTTATGTTAATGATAGTATCAAACATGGTTCAAAGAGACCTAAATTATGATGAAAAAAATAATTGATCAGATTTAGTTGTACTTTTAAGAACAAACATTGAATTTGAAACAGATAATAAAATAGAAGGTAATAATTATTTTTCTAAACACCTAAATACTTGGCTAATTATATGTTTTTATTATCTAGAAGCAAAGAAAAGAATGGACTTAGATGTAATAATGGATGATGAAGATGATATGGATAATTTACAATCAAGAAAAAAAAAAAGAGCTTATCTATTATAGAAGAACTATTTGATAAAATTCTTCCATTTATTTATATAGAAATTACTTCCCACTTGCTGGGCTTTGAAAGAAAATCAGGAATTAGGAAAGAAAGGCGGTGGAAAACATATGTCTGATAAAGTAGTTGAGTTATTAAAAATCTTTTTCATACAGGTGATGCATGTAAAAGTGAATGATATACACCTAAAGAAATGCTTGAAGAATTGAAAAAAAACGTGGAAATAGGTGAGTTGGAAGTAATTGACATGCCAAAATTAAGTACAATTGAAAATTGTATTAGTAGGTATTCCGACAGCACAAGCTAGAAATTGCTAAAAAAACAAATAAAATAACTAAATAAATAGTTTTTATTACTTTTCTCAAGTAAATCATAATAAGTGAATTTATTTTAATAGTATGTTTTTCTACCCATAATCCTGAGCTGATTTTGAATTTGTGCTTTAGTAGTAAAAAAATAAATGTATAGTTTCTTAACAAGAAAAAAAATTATAGATTATACTAATGTTTTTTATTATGCATGAGTGTGGTACTTGATAATAAGGTTTTGTGTCAGCAGGAGATAAAGTTACGTGATAAAAATTATTTTATTATAAAATCAAGAAATCTTGCCCCAATCTGCATTATGTAATTTCTTTCTGTTTCTGGCGAATTGCGAATTAATCATTTTAAACATTACCATAGTTGTGCATATATCTTTTATACTACATTTTAATTTTTTTATTCCCTCTAGTACATTCATGAAAATCACATAATGCATTGAGACATCAAACCTGACAACATCATGTTTACAGATTCTAGTTTTAATCAAGTTAAGTTGATTGATTTTGGTGAGTCAAAAAAAATAGAAGGATATATTGACAGCATGGACAATTATATTGAACAGACCAGCACAGAGTTAGTTGGGACACCCTTATTTGTTGCACCTGAACTTGCCAAGGCATTCAAATATAGTATTGAGATGTTTAAAAAAGATAATGATAGTGATTGTGGTACTGCTCAATGTGAATATGACAAATCTATTGATATCTGGTCATTTGGGATAGTAAATTACTATATGTTGTCAAAACAATATCCTTGGAATGTTAATAATCATGTTGAAGGAGTGGAAGGAAGATCAAATAATTATACTGAGCTTTACAACAATATAATTAAAGGTGACCTAGATTTTCCTACATTTAAAACAATTAGAAGTGACATTAATGAAATTGAAACTGTTGTAGATTTTATTCTTAAATTGTGTCAGGTAGATAGAAATAATAGGATATCATCTAATCAAGCATTGCAGCATACAGTGTTTAGTTAATTTAAATTTTCAATCATAATGGTAAAAACATTATTTGCTTATTGAAAAAGTCTGGTGATTTTTATAAATTCAATTTAAATAATAAAGTTCATACAATGACTTTCTCTCTATTACTATAATAATAATGATTTAAATATTTTACTCTAATATTTAATTAAATTTCTGTATAATAATAATGGGCTCATATCATATATGTCACTTACCTAAAAGTTTTAAAAAATTTATGATAAATAAAACTTATGATGATAAAAAAACTTGATAAAAAAACTTACAATAAAAAAAACATGATTTTTCAAATTAATTAATTTCTTTATACAACATTAATATTAATATTAATAAAATATGGCAGGTCACCAAAAATATATTTTTCAATTAAATAAAAAAAACGGCAGTCACCAAAAGTATATTTTTCAATTAAATGAAAAAACGGCAGGTCACCAAAAATATTATTAAATTTTTCCATTAATATAATACTAATACTATTAACATCAGGATCTTAAATTATCGCGATGTAAAACGGGTACCATTGCACAACTTTATTTCAAGAAGCGCAGCCTACCCAACATTGCAACAACGCATTGTTACATTGCGATGTACATCTTGATTTTTTATATTTAATTTTAACATTTCGCATTGTATTAAAAATTAATAAAAATAATATATATATATATATAAATTCAATTTGAAAAAATTACATTTTTTATTAATATTATTAATTATATAATATAATCGTAAGAGACCGTTCTGGTAGCACAAAATTTGATTCATTTCATCAACAATCACCAACAATTGTTTCATTAACAAATGATGACGAATTCGTGAATCAATCGTCACCCAAATGATGACGGATTCACAGATAAATCGTTACCCAAATGACGACGAATTCGCGGATCAATCGTCATCCAAATGATGATGAATTTGTGGATCAACCGTCATCCAAACGACGATGAATTCGTGGGTCAAATCGTAACCCAAATGACGTTGAATTTGTGAATCAATCGTAACCCAAATGACGATGAATTCGTGAATATCAAGCCAACTA